GTTCCCTAAAGACAAGTTTTGTGTTAAATGTCAATTGTATTTTTCTTTTGTAATGAACAAATTCTCATTGAAATTACATATTTCAAGGAGAAATCATTGTTAGTTGAAAATACTCCTTAGTTTAACTTCCTTTAGAATAGTCACCAGAGGTATGCAAGCAGACTAACCACAAGTTAACTCTGTATAAATAGCTATTAATAGCTTCTCTTCAGGATTATCCAAGATATGCTTAAGTCTCTCTTTCTGCAGACCTGTCACTTCATTTTTTGGCTCCCATCCAAACCATGTCTTTACATCCTTTTGCCTTGATTATAAGACCTGAAGCCTGTAACATTTACCTCATTGTTTGTGAAATAACAGGTTAGAGGAAACTACAAAAGATTGCTTTCATCCAAATGTATTGGCACAGAGAAACTCGGTTAAACAATGATGATGGGAAAGTCAAATGGAAGGGAGGTGGTAAATTCTAAATGATATTTAATAACAGACTAGCAAAAAATGTCATTAGACATGGGGTATGGGGCGAATTTTCAAATAGCTTACAAAGTGTAATTAATCATTGGCTCCACCACTTTTTCCTTCCTTTTTAGATCAAATACTGATCTCTGTTCAGCCTTAACTATATAAAGCCAAAAACATCAGTGCCTGTGTTTTATCCAAATTTTTCCCCAGAGCACCTTGATAGCTTACTTGACAGATTGACCACATTTTAATTCATGTTCCAATAAACGAAATTCCTACTTAGCCTTTTACCTTTCAGGTGTTATTGTAACTGCTTGCCTTTCTGGAGGTAATGACATTTGTGTGCTCTGGCAGAGAAAAATGGAAAAATGCATTTGTTAGTGCCTAACAGCCTACAAAGCTATCTTAGAGCTTTGCAGCATGTGCTACAGTCTCCTGTGCACCAAAGGATATTTTGACACCTTTTCAATTCGTGTTTTTTGTGACTTTTTATCACAAAAATAGATCAAAACTGAGCTCCAGACACTTTGTTCAGAGCCACAGTTTGTATTCAGAAAGGCCAGTGGCTTATGATATGCTATTCCATCTGGGGCTCATTAAGGATAAGTTCCCCCTGTTTACACTTTAAGATTAGTTTAGAACTTTAAGACTGTCATTCCATTTTTAGTTTTCATACACTTAAAAAGGAAGGTTAAATACAGAGGTGACAGGAAATTTGAGACCACGTTGTGGTAAAGCCCTAGAAAAAGAAACAAGTGTGGCATATTACAGTTGTGATGTCAACAATACTGCTTGAATAAAGCCAACACTATACAATTTGCCACATTTGCATGGAGTGCAGTCTGCAGGTTAGCAATGTTCATTTATACAGTTCTTAATGTACTCAAGATTTCTTAAGAGCATTTATCTAAAACAACAAGCTAGTTGTTTTAGCTTAGTGCCATTACACACAGGTGACTAGAACAAAAAGGACAACATGCCGAAAGAGACAAACAATGTGCCTACCCAGTGATCTCCATTTGGACATTAATAGCAAACAAAATCTCTTGTCCACCTGAAGAATGCATTTTGGTAGAAGTACACAAGGTCAGTCGGCTACAACTGCAAAAGGCTGGTTTTGTATGCAAATTGAAGTGCGCTGTCAAACATACGAAGCAATAACTTTGCTTAGCTAATAACAGACACCACGTCTACCACTGCACATAACTTTATAAAGTTCCCTACTTTAGCATGCTATAGCTTCAAAATCGACTTTTCACATTATACAAGATCATGTACATTTTTTCCTCAGCATAACTTTTTGTGATGCTTTTGGACACAGTTATGACTTTTATACAATGATGCTAGAAGACACCAAAATGTATAGGAGCAAAACCAATCATGCAGATAAGGTCACACACTAATTTTCAAGTGTGAGTTCTGAAGGGTTTAGTAAAGTCCTGCCACTTTTTCAATAAGGAAGTACTGCGCCTTTATCCGAATCAGCTGGATAACAGGAATATTATTTCCCTTTAGTTTCCTAAAAAAATAAAGTCAGAAATACGATTCATGTGACTCTCCTCCTAGCAGTGGATACTATTTAAAATGTTACTTTATAGGCTTGTGACCATTTCTATTGTATTATCTTAGTCTAAGCACACCATTAGAGCTTGCTAAAATCAACTACTTCAAGTACTTCTGCTTTAATTATCATATATCAGAGGCTGCATAAATAACACCTCCACCATTTTAGTTAATTAGGGCATAAAGCAAACGTGTCAGGTTCTTAGCCACCATTTATGAAGATACTATCTAGGATTTTGCTTGGACATTGCCACAGTGATTACATAAAAGGAATAAATTTCCAACAACTGCAGATCTTGACCAGAAAGAAATATTTATTTCTAAAAACATTTTGTAAATATTTAAAAAAAATCCATTTCACATAAAACCTGGATGGACAGAGAGATACCTGCATACCTGCCTGTAATAAAAACAATATTACATGATAACTTATAATTAATATTCTATCAGTCCACCCATACTATTAACATAAACATTAAATCACAGTTTCTTCCATGGAAGAATTATCTTCCATTTGTTCTAAGCACTGAAATATGAAGAACAGGTGTTTGGATTTAATTCCAAATGAGAAATGCAGCTTTTTGGCAGGAAAACAGGTTAGCAAATGGAGAAGGCTGAAACGTGGAGATTTGTTGGCCTGTTTCCGTGTTTACTTGCAGCAATATGACACTTACAGGTCACACTGTTAAATGCTAACCCAAAAACGGAGATGGAAGTGATCAAATTAACATAGTCAAATCACTGGTCAGGTCAGAACATACATACATGTGGATAAGATCCTTAAGAGTACTCAGGACTAGTTTATAACAGCTCTATTGATACATAGAGAAAATCTTTCTTTGCCTCAAAGGAATTCTTTTCAAATGAAAATGAAAGAGTTAGATCAATGCTAAATGCTAAAAGATTTAGGACTCGATTTTGTGTCCTCTAAACCCACACAGGACAAAGGTTTGACTTCATTGCTTATGTTCATTGCTTTGTTCAGATCTGTCATCACCCTTGTTCACAGAGTATTTTTTTTGAAGGTCCTCTGTATCAGTCAGAGTTTGAGCTTTGACACGTTGGGCACTTCACAGTAGGGACAAACAAAAAGTTTAACTTATCACTGATAATTTTTAAAACTAGAAGGCCATATCATGCATTGTGGCTGAAAAATCGTTAGGATTAAGATTGTCAGCATATTACATCTGAATAACCAGTGGCATAGTCCCTACACAATTATATATATAAAGCAAAACAAAAAAAAAAAAAACAAAAAAAAAAGAACAAAGAGGAAAAAAAACCAAACCAAAACTAAAAGTAAAAAGCACAGAACAATAGTCTGTTTAACTTAACCTCTTGAACTTTGTCATTAGGCTTGCTGTTCTATTGTTGTTATTATGTTTTAGCTTGCTTGCTTTCTTTTTTGAGCTTACTAACAATGCTCAAGAAGTTAAGTCAAACATTCTCAGAGAATGAAAATACAATGATAAGGAATAATAATAAAAAAGAAATACAGAGCATGGGTCAGCGAATGTAGATTGTATTGGGAGCCAGGCACGATTCCCAGCTCTTCCACTCACCCACCATGTAATTAAGGGCAAATCGTTTCACTGCCCTGAACAATTCTGTTCTCTGTCTGCCCTCTCTTTAAATTATAATCTTGTTGGCAGCCCACAGAATAATATCGGTACATCCTCATACATACATATACATGTGTGTGTAAGTCTGTATATATATATACACACATACACACACATACTGCATGGCACAGGAGGGCTTCATTTAGAGGCTATAAAAAGAATAATAATCATAGTATGTTGTAGTTTAAATAATAAAATATCAAATAGCCTTAGCAGATATTTTTTATAGTACTATTAAATGAAGGGTTTCAAAAAAAAAAAAACAAAAAAACAAAAAACAAACCCCAAACCAAAACTCAGAACCACCCATTGTAGCCCTAAAATCTCACCAAAACCACTGGAATCAAAACCTCTCAGGTCCAAAACACACAAAATGGATCCAAATGCATCTGAATTAGATATATTTGCCAACATATTTCCACTCCTACCACAATAAATACTGCCAATGGACATCCCTGGATTTTATTCCATAAACATGCTGATGAGCCTAAAGCGACCAAATAAAACTCATACAGGAAATCTATAAAGAAAAAGAACACCTAACTGTCAGTGGAAGAACACTTCTCAGATAACAGTCATTTAGGTTGTAACCTCTCCGTTCTGATCCTTGAGGAAAAGCTACTTAACATCTTCCAAAGACAAACCTGACAACTAAGATAGACAAGTGGATATGAGACAAGTGGATAAATGAGATTTAATTATAGTAGTTTTACGGCACATTGTGACCTCCCCTCCTCCCTTTTTTCTTCATCTTAGGGATAGAAATCTTTCCCCTTAGCAGAATGTATTACTATATCTTTGCCATCCTGCACCTTTCTTCCTTCTAATCTCTTTCACCAAATCTACCTGACCTTTCAGAGATGGTTCATAATGAAACTATGAGCTGACTTTTGTTTAGCTTTCAGATCTGCTGCAACTATTTCAGGGACTGAAAAGGAGCTTGAATGTCTGAATCCTTCTTTAATTTTTCCAGGTATGCTCACATATCTAACAAATGTGTTAGATTTATCTACAAACCCCATCTCAGTTATGACCTTCAATCACCAGAGTTACCCCAAAACAACTGTACTTGGTTAATGACTGTTTTTTTAAAAAAAAACAGGTATAAGGTATGACCCAGATTTTTTTAGACCTCAGTTTTTATCCATACCCCTTTGCCTAGTGTTTCTTAATAAGAGGTTTATGCCTTTCAGAGGCTGTTAGACAAAGAGATGGTTCCTGGACTACGTGTCATCTGTAGCACTCACCTTTCCACCCTCATCAAATTTTCCCACGTGAAAAAACCATTCTCGAGAGCAGAACCAGGTTGGCATGATCACAGTAGGTCCATGGGAGGTAAACACCTAGGAGAAAGGTGAAAAAAGCCAGTCTTAATTAATAGAATGTCAAAACCAGCATCTGTTGGGGAACAAAGTAGACCTTACGCATTCACCTGAAATCCTGAAAATACTTATGCCTATACTTAACCTTCAGCAATTTTAAGCACTGATAAAATTCAGCATGTGCTTAGTGTTTAAAATGTGGTGTATACCAGCACCTTTAAGGTTTCACAGCCCAACAGATGAATCTGCTTCCTGCTTCATATTCCATAACCTTCTCTTCTATCGTAAGTTGCAACACATGTAGAGTACTTCAAACTTAATTTCAAATTTAGAGAGGTATACTGGAAATGACACTTCTATTAATAATGGTGATGTTGATACTGAGGTGAATGAACTGGGAAGAATCTTAAAAAGTTAAAGTTCTTAAACTTAACCCTACAATTGTTGTGCATTGATTTTCAATTTTGTATTCCTTATACATATATTAAGGGGGAACGTTCATTGATCTTTTACTTCTGCCACTGACACTTAAATCTTAACCAAGCTTGGACAAGTAAGATGCAATTTATTTTAAACATTACCAGAGCACTATGGATTTGCTACCCAGTGGTACCTATCTTAAAAGGTTGTGGGAAAGAAAATGCTTTAGGGACTGAAAAGGGAGTGGCTATTAATTTCATCCTTTTGACTAGTGACAGCCTAGAACTATACAAATAGTTCTTTGCAGCTTTAAACAAACTTGTTGTAAACACAACTATGAAATAAACCAGAATCTGGATGACAGAAGGTAAACTCATTTTTCCTTTTATTACAAGATGAAGTATCCAGCCAAACAAGAGACTGAACTTCTCAAACAGAATGTGCAAAGCTAAGACAGGAGACTGTGCCCGCTTCCAAGAACTACACAGGAAATAAAGAGCACAGCCTGGTTTACAAGGGCAGAAGAAAGAAACCTCACAATTACTGCCAGTCTTCAAACACTAATGAAAATGCTGATCTCATGAGCAGATGATTTTATAGCATGCTCTAGTGGTAATATTAATATTCCTGTATAGTTGAAATTTTTAAACATCAGTGCATGAATGTAAATTTTATCATGTGCATCTAAGCGTCTACATTTTAAAGGTGTTCCTCTTGATTTCAACCTGGGATGGAGCTCCTTAAACTCTTCTTATGCCTGGCAACTTCAGTTTCCACAGATAAACATGAACTTAAAGCCCGAATTTTACACAGTCAGTTCTATACAGACACTTAGACGAATTCTCCAAGCAAATTAGATGAGAAATTTAATAAAAATTCAACATGTGATCTACTCCCACTTTTCTTATTGGCACGAATCATCTGACCAAACACAGGCATCCACCTTAGGGTCAAACACACTGCATGCTAACTCCAGGAACACAACGATAGAACTTCACTGTCCATAAAGGGATCCTAGGGTGACTCATCTCAATATACACTTAAATTTTAGGCAGTCATATTTAGTCAGAATAATCCTATCACTTAATGGCTATGATTTAACACATTAGCAGCTTGTTCATAACTGAAACACAGTTTCGGGTTTTTTTAAATGAATTTTAATTTAATTTTAGCACCTTCAGAGGTGCTAAATGTCAAAAACTCCCCCAAAAAGTCAGTGGAAGCTGAAAGAGTCAAAACAACCCCAGAAAACCAGAGCAGACACGATTAGTCAGTACACGGTTATTAGCTCCACACTAATTACAAGGGAATTGAGTATGGCCTGAACTGAACAATGACCAAACAGTAATCCCAAAAGAAAACAACAGTAGGGAGAAAAGCTAGGCTAGAATGCATTGCATTGAATCTCATTGCTGAATGAAAGAAATTTTTCAAAAGAAAGTCTTGAGCCTATTGGAAAACATAAGATGTGTTTGGAGAGGCTAGAATGCCACTTCCTCAGTGCAGCCAGGTTCATCAGAGAACATAAATGCACTTAATCTTAAAGATGTAGCTCAATGTAATTAGTCATACTCACATGCAAAGAGCATACATCCCAAATATCTTAGATAATCTGTGTTCCATTGATGTATATACTTAAGTGAAGCCAAATAGAACAAATTTGAAACACTGAGAAAAGAAAAAAAACATCAAAATGTCACTTCTGTTAACATAGATGATGATATGATGACAATTATATAGTAGACCACCACACACTGCATACACTGATGCCTTTCCTAAATCAAACAGTTCTCTACGGCTCACCGTCCATCTCAGAAAAGATACTAGAGGGGAATCACACAGATAGAACTGAGACTGATGATAAGGTGGCTGGATTGCCACATACAATTTCAGGGTCTTATCCTTCAAGAAAGTCTTTGAGTCTGGAACAGTACACCAGCTAGGAGTCAATGAATTGGTAAAAAAGCTTTTCTATATGAGTATTTATAATGCAATATCAAAATAAACTTTAGGAAATTTAAATTTGTGCTGCTGCCACAATGGACAAATTCATGCTACCTTGTCCCTTGCTATGCTAACAATTAACATTTGTGAAGCTGAAATTCTTTCTTTTTTTTTTCCTTTGGTTAGTTTTCAGCTGGATCTGCTCCCTGATCCAACTAACCACAAAAACACTAGTGTTACCGCAAAAGAGGATGTAGGAAAACAGGGCACCAAACACAGAGAGGACAGCAAGACCATTCTTTTCAGCAGCAGTATAGATAATACCTAAATAATCCTTAACCTGATAGGGGGAACTGTATGCCCAAAGTCTAGATTTACAGTACATCTATATTAATTTAAGAGCTCTCCCACTCCTCCTGCCTCTGGCTATGCATCCCAGTCACTTACAACAGCATTGGCACTCACCTGACCCCACGGTCAGCTAGATCAGAGCACTACATCAGTAAGAAAGCTATTATTTCCTTTTTTTAGTGTTATTTTTCTATAGCCTTAGTTCTCTGAATAGGTTCACTGTGGGGTCAGACTAGCAATACTGCTGACATACTGGAGGGGGAAGGAACAAGCTTTGGAGAAGAAAACAAGACCTCCCTTTTTGGTCATTGCCCACAGTTAATCAGTCCAGCTGTAATATAAAACTGCACCCTCTGTCTGAATACTTGCAGTGATGGGAGGAGAACTGGCTCAGGAAAAACACTAAACTCCTAACAAACTGTATTGAAACACTGCAGCATCTGCCAAACTTTTGAAAGCTACCTTCAAGAGCTTTTGAAATTTCATCTTCAAGCCAAAAAAAAAAAAAAAAAACCAAACAAAACAACCCCAACCTTCTGCAGTTTGGAAATTCTGGATTTCAGCTTGGTTTAGTCCGATGGGAAAGTCTCCTCTGGATTTCTGTTTTGCCTACTCTTGTCATACACACTTGCCAAGGTGTTAAAAAATGGTCAAATTGGCTGACTGTGATAAAAATTGCAACTTCTCACTGTGAGATTGCCACTCAAGATTTTATCCATAAATCTTTTAGATTGTGTGGACTGGAACAAGAGAAACAAAAAGCACATGCTAGCATTAATCTGAAAATCAATCAAAAGCAGAATCTGAATTATGATGCAGCTCTGTAACTGCCATGTTTAGTTTTCTTGGAAATGTTCTCCAGCTCTGCCCAACAAATGTCCTGTATCACCTTGGAACCTTAACAGGTTTTCAGTCCTCCTGGAGGAGTTAATTCAGTATACTGGAAAGCAGTTTGGACCTGTGAACCTTTCACACACGGCTGTATTGGAAGATTAATGTTCAATAATAGTTGTCGTTAATTAAGAGTACACTGTATGCTGTAAAGATTATCTAAATATAATCTAGTTGAATGAAACCAACTTGTTAAAAACTAACTACAGAGCTTGTAGACGAAGGTATAAATCTGCTCAGATTTAGAATTCTTGAAGAACACAGTGTTGTCATAACCAAATCGGAATCCACCTTCACCAGTTTACAGGTGACAGAGACAGGCTGCTATTTCAGCACCGTATTTGTTAAATTATTTAGGGCTTTTATTGTCATCTGGTTTTATTCCAAGGATCAAAGTAATTGAAATTGATTTACTCTGTTTTGTTCTTGCTAACTGTTCAGCTATCAAATTACATCCAACTATTACAGAGATTCTCTGAAAATAAATCTAAAGAATATAAAGAGTTGATAATGTGACTTTCATTTATTGTGTTTCAAAGCTGTCAACAGCACGTGTAATTCTGGTCCCCACTGATGCTCACTTCAGATCATGTCAGCATTCAATATGAAATTTAAGTCCCAATACTGAGAAAGGCATTCATATGTTTATAGTAAGTCTTCAAGGAAAGTTCTATTTCCTGAACCAGCAAATCAAAATCTAACAGCAATGTGCCAACAGAATACATGCAGATGGTGAAACAACTTTATCACATTATGTCATGCAGAATACAGAGAGGAAACCAGGCAGTTCACAAGAGCAACATATTTAATCAAGGGCCCAGATTGCTTTCCAGTGTAACAAGCTAATTCCCCCAAATACACTGCACATTTAAGTCTACTTATGCTATACCATTTATGAAAATTATATCCACAGAGATCAAGGATTAGAAACAATCTCCTACGTGATGATAAATAAAGCTTTCCAATAGCCAGGGTCATACATTAACACATTAGAAGGTGAAAAAGAAAAGAAAACAGAACAAAAAAAATCACATGGCGGAGGGCCACGATGTTTTTGTGAACTGTAGGCAGACTATAGGCTAAAGAACATCACTCCTGATTTAGAAAAAAATATGTGTTAAGATACCAGTGCATTAATTCAGCAGTGAATGTAGCAGGACCTCAGGACTAAAGGTTGCCAGGTTTACATTCAGAATCAGGTGCGTGTATTAGTGTGACAGAAGAGATACAGAAGGCAGGGAAGAAAAGACTCCTTTTTAAAAAAAAATAACAACAACAAACTTCACTAAGCTTTAAGGAACCTGAACACCCAATCTGGTATGGATTACATTCAGTTAGTTTATATTGTACTGAACTGGTTAACCCTTTCCTATGCCTATAAAAATAATTGCCTGTATCACCTAATCATTGCATGC